AAAAACGTAAAAACGTAACGTTACCTTCGTAACGTAAGTTAACGTTAAAAACGTAAAACTAACTAACTAACTACTACTACTCCTCTCCTTCCTCTACTCTATACTACTCTCTCTCTCTCTCTCTCTCTCTCTCTCTCTCTCTCTCAAATTTTTTTGAAAAACCAAGCACTTGGTTATTTTTTTGAACATTGCTAGCCTTCAATGTGTTGACAAACTTTGGCCCTTGGGTTTTAGTTACATAATTCAAAGCAATTTGGGTAGTTAGTCCTGGATTTGTTTTCCTTTTTGTTTTCTTTCATTGATGTATCTTTAAGTTATTGAACTCCTTGGGTTTGTCTTTTTTGCTGTTCTTTTTTCTTTTCTGTTGGTTTAGTTTGATGGAATTTGAACTTCGAAGTGCAAGGTTAGAGAGAAAGAGAGAGAGATGCTTGAATTTCAATGAGCAAGGTTGCTAGAGATTTTAATCCTCCGAACACAAAGATTGTTTTGCAGTCAATAGTTTACTCAAAAAAATGTTGCTTTCAGAATTTGGCAATGGCGTTGTTGGTAAAGAAAGTTAAACATTGAAAAATGGGTGATGTAATAAAGGTCTCAACCTTAAACGGTAAGAGCAAGGTACATAAAATGCAATTTCAGTGCCGGAAACTCCTACGATGACCTATCTTCCCACCGAATTATGAAATTTAAAACCTAAAAAATAGTGCAGGTCAAGCACATCAATCGATACTCTAAAATTTTGAAAATGGACGGTCCATTTGTTTACACAATGCACTATGTTTTGGATTTGAAATCCCTTGTTTTTTCATTTCCGTAGGTTCGAGGTTGAGATGATCAATTGTAAGGTTTTTCAACATCAGAACAACCTTTTCAAGTGGATTTTTAGGTGCATCTTACTTATATAGTATAACCTCTTATACAAACTTCTTTAAAAATAAAAAAAGGTGGGTTTGTATAAGGTGTCAATCTTATGCTATGCAAAATAAAGCGCAAATCATTGAAAACTTTACTATGGCTTGAAAATCCATGGTCAACCCTAATTACGAATTTTAAAATGGTGTGGATCAAGCAAATTTACAAACACTTGAAAATTTTGAAAATAGACGGTCTAAATAACTTAGGGTGAGGTTTGTATAGGGCTCTAAACAATCAAATTAGAACCTACCTTCAAATAGTATCAAGAACTGTGGTTTCAATACTAGAAATCTTTGTGATAGCCTTAAAATATATTTTCATTTTTATTTATAAAGTTTAAAGCTTCAAAAATAGTGTAGATGGACAAATCTATAAAGGGCGCGGTCTGTATGGAGCCTAGGCTCTAAACAATCAAATTAGAGCCTACCTTTAAATAGTATCGAGAAATGTGGTTTAACACTGAAAATCTTTGTGATAGCCTTAAAATATATTTTGATCTTCATTTATAAAGTTTAAAGCTTCAAAAATGGTGTCGATCGATAGATCTATAAAAACTTGAAAATCTTGAAAGTTGACAGTCAAAAAATGCATTACAAAATACATAATTTCCAAATCTTGAAATCAATTTTTTTCTCATGTCCATGCATCTTGAAGTCGAGATGATCAATTTGAGTATTTTTGGGCATCAAAACAATCTCTTCTAGTGAAATTTTTGATGTGGGCTCAAATGTGATTGTTTAGAACCTTGGCTCTATATACACTTTTCCCATCTATAAAAGCTTGAAAACCTTGACCTCTTCTAGTAAAATTTTTGAGGTAGGCTCCAATTTGATTGTTAGAACCTCGGCTATGTATAACCTTTTTCCAATAACTTATAATTGCTTTTTTCTCTTTATACCAATATGTAAATATATCTTGAAGTCAAGATTTTAACTTTGGGATACTCTTATCTGCTAGATTTTTTAGATGAGCCTTACATAAAAAATTTCAATAATAATAACAAAAAAAAGAAGGAAAGGGAAAGTTGAATGTTTCTCAATTACATTAGTTTGAAGGAAGATTTTCTTCTTTCCTTCAGTTCCACAAATTCAACCTGTGAGCTTCAAGGCCAACTCGGGCTGTCGCTGATACCGCTAGCAAAAACATATATATTTCAAAAGGTTTGTATGAGGTGCTCACCTTATACTGTACAAGTAAGGTGCAACTCTAAATTTTGCCGGAATATGTAATTTCAATGTCGGAGACCTTACAATGACGTCAAATTTAATGTTCAATCCTAATTATAAAATTTAAAACTTTATGGTGCAAATTAAGTAGATCTAAAAATACATGAAAACCTTGAAAATAGACCGTCTAAATGTTTTGTAACAAGATGCACAATTTTTAAGATTTAAAATTCTTTTTTTCATAATATATGTAGAGATCAAAATCAATATGATTAATTGGAAGGTTTTCCAACTTTGGAATACTCTTTTCTACTTCTATAGTATAAGATTGCAGCCTTATATACATTTATTTCACGTTAGGGTGAGATTTGTATAAAATGTCAACCTTAAACTATGCTAAACAGTTTTGGTACCACAAAGCCATGCAATGATAGGAATACGTATTGTTATTATGAAATTTAGCATTCCAGAAATAGTGACGATCAAGCATATTTATAAGCACTTAAAATGTTGAAAATAGACTTGTCCATATAATGTGTTAAAAGAAAAAAAGTATTTTTAAAACTAAAAATCCCTTTTTTTCCTGTTAATGAATCTCAAGGTCGAAATGATTGATTTGAGCGCTTTCCAGCATAAGAACTTTCTCTAGTGGATTTTTTAGGTGCACCTCATTCATACAATATAAAGTTGACACCTTATATAAACTTTTTCCTTAGCTTAAATTAAAGTAAATATTATTTCTTTTTATGTTTGTGAATTACATTTTTGTATTTTAAATATTTATGTTATTTCATCTCTTATCAACGCTTTTCAATCATGTGCTTCTAACTAGTCATTCTAATCCCTTCTTTGATTATAAATCAACCAACGTCAACAACAAATCACTGTATAAGCACAAGCAGATCCACTGTTTAAACAAGCAGTTGCACAAAAATTCAATACCGACTCCTGGAACGTGTTAACCGAGTCCCAAACCCAAGAAACACTTGGAAGGTTAAAGGATTACCATTTTATCGCGAGCCTTGCCATGCCAACTGACGGGTCCACTGTATTTCACAAAGCAGAAATCTTTACATAGATAAAAAGCTGCTCACATACAACTTACACATGACCCTCTAACTGATACTAAATAGAAAGGCGAACCCACTAACTGGTAAATACAAATGGAAGTGAGAGCATCATCAACCAAAAATTGAAAACATTACAAACCATGACAAGATACACCTTGACTGAAGTTTTTTTTTTTTCTTTTTCTGTTTTTCATTTTCAGTACGTACAAAGAGCAGAACACTGCCACTGTGATATCTAACCTTCCATCATCTTGACTGGGTTTCCTGATGGAGCCTTGTCCTTGGGGCCTTGTGAAGTTGTGGTTTTGGATCCATCAATATTATGAAGCTCTTCTACGAGCTGGGAGCGTCGTTGCTTCAATAAACCCAATCGGGTTGTCAATTCAGCCAAAGCCAAATAACCAGCAGGTTGTCGTTTATATACTTTTCCCTGATGTAGTCGTAGGCGCAGAGTTAACTCACTGTTCATTTCTGATAAGATTGATTCAGAAGCTCTATTGAAAAGTTTTTACAATAATATGGGTTATCTTACATGACAACAAAGATATTCTTTATTTAAAAAAACAAGAGAGGAGAGATTCTATCAGATTGTCACAGATAGCAAGCAGTTTTTACCTCTCGTTGCATGGCGGTTTGCCTATTTGTTTCCAGGGTTGATGGTTCCTCGAAAGTGCATCTAGGAGAATCTGTGAGGCTCATTGAGTTAGGTTTCTTCTTTTGGGGAGGGTGTCGCTTTTGAGTGGAAGGCGATCCTTGTGGTCTTAGATTCTCCCAGTCTGCTCCAAATAGAACATCTTGCTGCAACAGCAGGAAGAAAAATCATATACCCATTTTTTATATCTTCGCCATTACCATTGAATCAGTTACGTAGATGTTAAAAGTTCGGATGGCACCATATTCTAAGAACTGAACTAGGCTAACAATGATATTTAATACATTTAACACGAGAGAGAGCTGAGCAATGCATCAAAGTGAACTACATGTAACATGTCACAAATGTATGAATATTTCTTAATGTCCGTATAAAGTAATTTGGATATGAAGGGTAATCTTCAACCTAATGGTAGTCCATGTCGCAGATGTAGATATTGAGGTATATCTCAAGATGGTTAAATTCTGGGCTCAGAATATCTTAAAAAAAAAAACTTCGGCAAATAGCAAAAGGCCATTTCCCAATCACGAAGTAAACTTTTCAGATGCCATAGTGAGATAACAGAAGGGATTTCTCTAATGAGGTTCCTTGTTTAATACAATGACCAAGGAAATGAAAGATAATCTTCAATCAAACATGGACTGCACCAGTCACTATTAAGATCTTCACCTTGGTCCCAGATGGGTCACGTGTAATAGCAAAAAGTGTGGTGATGAGGACATACCTCACTCTTCTGTGTGCTTTCAAGCTGATCAGTTATTTCATGATCTTGCTGAGGAAGCTTCCTGTAATGCAGTCTCTCACAATGTTAGTTCTTCAAAATATACAATGCACAAATTAAACAGAAACACCCTGATTCCAAAGAATTAAAGCATATTTCATACCAATATACCCTTTTCCAGATACACACCAGTGGTTTGAATATATCGTACTGAACATGTGAAACATAAAAACCCAACTGAAAACCTAGTGCAACAAATTTGATCCAAAACTCCACATATTTGAAGGGTGTGCGTGTTAGGAAAGAAGAATCAAGAGCCATCATATTGTGGAAAATGTGATCGCTGTACATAATTTACTATCTGAAAGTTCTAAGAGATTCCAAGAGTAGAGTTCAGAGATTTGTGTGAAGTCACCCCATATGGAATTCATAATTATCTGAATGAGTTCTTTATATGCGTGTATTATTCACCCCTTGTTTCAGAATATATTTCTGTTACAGTATGAAAAACAAGTAATAAAAAAACTAAGTAATACAAGTTACACATGATGAAGTTCATAATAAAAAAAGCTAGCCAAAATGAATGAATGTTCATAATAAAAAAGCTTAGACAAAATGAATGAAGGTTCATAATAAAAAAGCTAGCCAAAATGAATGAAGGTTCATATAAAAAAGCTAGCTAGCCAAAATGAACCATGTACTAGGTTTCTTGATGTGGTATCTGGAATACATTAACTTCCATATTCGATACCCCAAGGAAAACTATCCTGCTGCCAGGGATGCAGATTCAGATGTGAGCTCGGAAAAACAAAATAATAAGCACAATTATAGCACAATATCCATGTAAAAAGGATATTTCCATATGCCCTCCTCAAAAATCAAGCAACGACCTCATGTTAATAGGATATGATGCAAGTCCTCTGAATACACTGAATGTGCAACAAAGAACAAAGACCAAAAATAAAAGTGAAGTAGAAAGAAAACACACCCCGGCCATTGAATATTTTGTGAATGTTGATATTGACCGCATGAATTACACACAGAACCAAAACGATGCTGACGTTGCTGGTTAAGCTGCACATGAAGATCAGCAACCTTCTGCTTCAATTTCATTACATCTGCCTCTGCAAGAGCAATTTCCTCGAGCTCTACCTTTGTCTTCAGCAGGAGGAAAACCATTTAACTTCTGTTCTATACAACACTGATTATCAAGCAACATATAATATTGGATGATGCACAACAAACCTTGGAGTCCATACTTGAGGAGATTGCATATCCTTCTGATGGCATGTTTAATCCGGCCTCCAATAATGCTCTCAGATCCCTCTCTTTTTGCAGTTGCTCTTGCAGTCTTGCTACCTATGATAAATAGAAGCTGTATTAAACACACCATCCTGAAAGCTGTATATAATCCATAACATAGCATTCAAATGGCAACAGCCAATTGGTCCTCTAAGAAGCAACAAATGGTAGGTTGTATAATGCAAAAAGACAAAGATGTATTGCCGCTCATTGGTCACCATGAAATACTGCTCAAGTATGGCAGGCAAAGCCTGCTTTGTCCTATAATTTATTCACCCAAATGCCTCACGTGCTTGAGGCAGGCAATCCTTTTCAAAATTTGCATAATCAGTCACCCAAATATGCTTACACTAAGCTGATTTTCCTCTCTAATATGCTGGTTTTACAAATAACGACACAATGACTTGACATTGGTAGGAATACAAATATTTCTAACATGAACACGTACAGTAAAAACCTACTCCCTCATGCAAAAGACCTACTTATGAGGATTTTCTAGATCAGAACTTTAGGGATCAACTTTATAATCACTAGATGAGTATTTTCAAAAAAGCGAAAGGCTTTTCAGTTCCGAAACACTTAAAGACTGTCCAAAAAGTTGAGAGTCTGCTTAATCTTAGGACTTTTTTTTTGTTGAGGTTGTTTGCTCGATAGAGGAGTTACGTCCCTAAAATTTGGGCTCCTAAATGTACTCCTACGTAGGGTTTTACTGAGGGAGTGATTGTAAAATATGCTCCGGCAGAAACATATATATTTGGGTTCCAAAAATTTAATTATGCACATACAGGATCATGATTTGCTCATATATGATGCTTTTCAAATGAATTTGGATTCTCGAATTGGTAGTTATTAATTTTGTCGTATAGCTGTAGATTTGTAAAAGATATACATTTGGATAACTACATTTCTTAGACTTTTCAAATCATGATAACAAGCTATGTAGCACAGCTGTAGATTTGCTCACAGCTTGCTGAGTCTATGGCACTCCTATCTGGACTCGACTTTTTTATCCCTCTTGGGCTCAACCCCTGATCATCGTAGGAGATGCTCAAAACATCATCACTTAGGCCTCCGGCTCCTTGCCCTTGGTACCTCGCAACAATTTTTGACGAGATTACTCACATTTGCAGGGATATAGCCGTCTCATGGAGGCATACTTGGAGGGAGTCCAACGCCCTGGCGGATCAGCTGGCTAGAGATGGAGCGCTATCAACTGACTCGTGACCCCGTGGAACTGGGATTTTTTAATATGGCTTCATTTTATTATGCTAGGGTTTTTGTATTTGTACTAGCCCTTTTTTGTATAGGACTACCATCTTGGTAAGCCTATTTTTTGGCCAGAGGCCCAGTCTGTGGGTTTCCTCTTCACTTCATGTTCTTTCTCTCTTTCTCAAAACAGTTGACATTATCAAAAAAACACATGCAAAATATAGTTTTTTTTTTTTTGCTTCTTGAGCATTCATAGGTGAATGATAGTTATCAATCAATCTAGGTTGTCTTAGGATTCTTATCAAAATTATCATGGGTCAAGATGTCAAATTCTTGTTATATTTTCATCCACAAAATCAAAACTATTTAAGTTACATGTATTTCTAAACAAAAATATTGATTCACAGATAATTCTGTTCTACACTTTTTATTTTTATTTTTCTGTAGAACCATTTTTGGTCATCTATCACATGAAAATTAAACAACCAAACTTAGTTGCAGAGTTGGAAATAGTTTGCTGCCACAAATCACATCACATATTGATTCACATATAATTCTGTTCTCCTAGTAGTTGTAGATTTTTCAGTTGCTCCTATTTTTCAGCTAGACGTTACATGTAGGATGCCATGCCCTCACCTTTTTAGTGACCATGGCCACATCCATATTACACATTCACCACGAAAGGGGGATGTATGCAATAGTCACGTCAGGTATGACGGTTGGGCACAAGGAAGTAGGTGTAAAAACTTAATCCCTAGGTTATATTATCAATCTATCATACGAAACACACATTCAAAATGAAAATGGTTCAGATAACATGAAATAATTCGTTTCAAAATGAAAATAATTCAGATAACATGAAATAACTCGTACAAAATCACAGAATGACTGAAAAGATATTTTCATTTTGAATAAAGAAAACTGAAAGGCATTCAGAGTTTCTAGTATTTCATTAATAGATGCGACATGAGCGCCATATAAGACATGCTCACTTGCTAGTAGAAACTCAAATACCCTTTACATAAAGACGTCATGCAACATTAGAGAAAAAACAGGAAATATCATGCACATTACCAAGGAAATTCAAATTAAATAAAACAATTATAAAATGGGCAGGTAATTCTTACATCTTGCTCCAATGCTAACCGACGCTCATGCAAAGCCTGCTTTCTCCTCTCCAAGCTTGCTTGCAAAATGGCATTCTCCTTTGTCTATGCAAATTGAAAAACATTCAACGCAAGAATATGAGATTTCTTTAATAATTAGGAACATATCTTTACTTTGCAATAGTAAGCAAGTTGATACTTATAATTAACAATGGAATTTTGAACTATACCTCTTTTGCAATCTTATTCCGAAGATCGTTCTTTGTGATCTCAAGCCTCTGAATTGCACTTCTATATGACAACACAAATCATATTCATCAGACAATGTAACAACACAAACGGTAAAAGAAAGCCAACTCCAAATATCTCTACAACCATTGCCCTAATTTCCAATCAGCTCCACTGGTGCACACCAATACATTTCAAGTGACATGTTTATAAAAGAGATTCCAGAAGTAAAATTCATTTGATATGGCTAACAAAAAGAGGGATCACATCACATGCTATATTCATACAGAACAACATTTTGGTGCACGCCTTTGTAAATCTAGAAAGTCCAAACAAACAATAGTCTAAATAGTGAAGGTTATTAGTACGACAAATTAATAATGCAGAAGACCGCTTCTCAATGTAGCATTTCTATCAACGAAACTGCAAAAGATGCCCAGTCACTTTGTTATTCTCATATGGGGCAAGGAGTTCGAACTTGACATATTAACGATAGCCGTCACATTTGACACTGCCATATAAAAGCAGTTAGTTGCCTCTAATTAAATGTTTAATCAATTTAATGCAACTTACGGAAGCTCATTGTGAGAAAACTATTGCCAAACCACTAACTTGCAACCAGACTCTCTAGCTGAAAAAAATATTTCATGTCTATGCTATGCAAGGAAAAAAGTAAGCAGTCGAAATTAGATCAAATTATTTGGAGGGTTGGGCAATTTGTGTTGTGGTTTGGACTCAGGTTTCTATATTGCTAGCCTCCATTTCATCAATTGATTCAATATATTTGCAGCAAAGTGGGGAAGGAAACCATGAGGAAACATATCTTAAATTTTAAAAAAATAAAATAAAGAACGCCAAACTATAGACACCGCATGCAGCTGTGACAGTCATCTGAAAGTAACTAATACTCTCTGAAAAAAATTGAGACATCTTATTACAGCTTAACATTTAATTTTTCTTTTAAATAACTTAATGAAAAAACAATTTCTTACTAAAAGGAACTTCAGTTATGGGGGTATTATTAAAAACATTTTAAAAACTTCAAATGGTTTTTTGGTTCCCACAAACATGAAACCCACAAAGACCGATGTCAAACAATTTTTGACTTTCAAGCACATAAAACAAGCATGTCTACTCAAATTCCTAACTCCTTCAATATATCGGATCACGTCAAACTTCTACCTAGCCAGAGGACATCCCACCAAGCCTGCCCACAATAGTTTTAAATGGCTAGAATTCACTAACAAATGTCCCATACATGCATACATTACGCACAAACACGATAATCAATCACCAAATGCATTGAGGTAAACAGAAACCAAATCGCAAATATGTAAGAACTAAGAAGATACACTATAAGTGAGTTGGCTACAGCACTTACTCATCTTCACTAGAAGAATCAATGGACTCCATAGAAAGGTTCTTTCGTGCCTGTAAATAAAAATGATGAATAAATTAGACATCAATATTTCAAAAAAACTGAAATATCCTCCATTGCAGGAAAACCAGTTATCCTGAGATCTTAATGATCGGAACAAATAATTGAACCAACTCACCGAACGATTATGTAGGTAAGATACAGGGCTAGTGAATAACATAGTGCAGGTTTTGGAAAACATTAAGAACAAAAAAGATAAATGGAACTTCTATATCCATGTGACCAATTCAAGAAGAAAATTAAACCAACCACTAAAACATAAGCCAGTAGCAATGACAAACTTACAGAGGTCCGACCCCATATAGTTGGGCGCTTAGCATTTGTAACTGATCCATTGACATTGCCAGTGGATTTTGTAACACAAGATGCTGGACTCAAGCCAGTACTAAGCTTCGGACTTGCTGAAGTTGGGGGATCATCCTGAGCCTCATGAGATTCATTGGTAGATATGGTACTTGATTTATCATTTGGTGACTGTAGAGTCCCACTACTTTGCTGCACCACATTTTGATCTCCCACTGGAACAGAAGCCTCCTTTAATGAACTTTGCTGAACCACATTTTGATCTCCCACTGGAACAGAAGCCTCCTTTAATGAAATTTGCTGAACCACATTTTGATCTCCCACTGGAACAGAAGCCTCCTTTAATGAACTTTGCTGCACCACATTTTGATCTCCCACTGGAACAGAAGCCTCCTTTAATGACCTCTCAACAGATATGCATTTGTTATTATCTTCGGGGGAGTCAGCATCAGAATCAAGACCTTCAAAACCCTGCATTATTAAGGGAGCTAGTGTTAAGAGAGTGCAAGATATAGAGCATATCAAATACTCAGCATCTATTATTAGCCTACCTGAATTACACAAGAGAAAACCAGCTATATCATTAGAAATAGAGAAGAATAAATCAGTAAATGAGATGAATTTTAATACTTTAAAGATATTGGCATGCTCAAAAAGGACTTGACGCAAGGGAAAGTAACTTGAGCACCATAGACAGAACTATTGACAGCTTTCATGATGCAAACAATATTAACTTTTCATCAGGACCAGCAGTTATTATGAATTTTCGTACCAATTGAGAACCATGAGTGATGCATAGTGCACATGGACATTAAAAAAAAAAAGAACGCAATAATTGACATAATGACAATCTCATATAATAGGAAATATATGAGTCAGGGCCCACCCCATATGATATGTACCAGAAATGGGTCATTGAATAAAACACCCATTATATAGAATATAATGGGTTAGTTATTCAATATAATGGCCACCTATATAACATGCAATGTCCACAGTAAGAGGATTGAAATCAAACAAAGGGCAGAAAATTGTGATTTTTAAAGGAATGTGCACCTTTTTCAAATAATAGTAGTTATTTAATAAAACCCCTTTCAGGAAACAAAATAATATAATAAATAATAATAATAAAAATTATACTACAAAATAATAATTTCATTTATTATTTTCTCTGATTTTTTAGTTATTTTCCATTATTTTCCATTTTCCCTGACATTTGCCGTTTTTTTGCAATTTTCAGTTTTAAGTGGTACAGATTCATAATGATAATAGGCCACATGCGAGATCCCAGTATATTTGATGATCCTAGAACCTCTCTTTTAACCATTCAAATGCAATAGCACGAGGGTCATTCAGAATAAGCAACAATGCACACATAATATAACAGAACGGCAAATGGAATGAATCTATATAGCTTTCGCAAGTGGTAATATCAGAACTTAACAACAAAACTACACAGAGTAATCCACAAGAAAATGCATCACTAGAGCCCCCCTACACAAGGTACGCAATGGTTTCTTGGGGAAAAATAAAAAATACAAAGTGACAAATATAGCAATAGAGAGGGATGACTACAAGCCTTATAATCATAGAGATCACTGCCTGCGTTCCCGCTGCTTTCGCTTCGAGTCCCACTTAGAACACGCTCATGATCAACCTCTATATCGGGATCAAGGTCATGTTTTGCATCATGATATCCATCATCTGCCATATCCATAGCCTCATCATCGGTATACTCCTCACTGCCACTTTCTTCAGTTTCAGAGTATATATCTGGTGAAAGGGAATCCTTTTGCGACTGGCCATCCTGAGAAGAAGATCACAATCTTGTTAAGAAATCCAAAGGTTTCCCAAAGTATTGCAAATCAAGAAAAACAAATCCTGGCCTAACTCAAATAAAAACGTATTGGTCCCACGTAACTCACAGTATATGACATCAACCATTCAAGAAAACATTTCATAGAAATGACGAGCAACACTGCTCATGCTAAGAAACAAAAAATGAAACACAAAAATGCTATCAATAACAACATAGAGAACGACTCGTGGGGCTTCAGGTCTGATAACAATGTGGTCTTTAACGCTTACGACTACAAAATAAAGATTCCATATCATAATAATGAGCTGAACATATCAAACACCAAACAATCAAATGCTCAAATCTCCACGCCCAAATGTGAGTTTTGGTTTATTGGGACCTGGGATTATGGTTTCTAGATACGAAAGTACATTCCTGGAGAAAATTGGGTTTCAAGCACTCCCTAATAGTTTTTGCATATGTCGGTACAATGATTTTAGAAGCCAGTGAGTATCTTCTCAAGCCAGAGGTACCATTACACATTTTTGCCCTGAGTTCCTAACTAGGAGCTTTCACGTCCACGCTGGCGGCACCCTGCGATGTCTAGCAATCTTCCACTTCTGAAAAGCTTTCCTCCTTTTTTAATAAAAATAAATGTATTGCTAAGGAAAAATGTTTACCATAGTCATGCAGAGACAATCCCGTCTAATGACTATGATAATCACCAGGGAAAAGCCCTGCAACATATCTTGCAATCTTCCACTCTGCGAACTGCATTGTATTTACCATTGCATGTTGTGCTTCTTTTTTCCCATCCCCTTCTCCATAGAATAAAATGTGATAAAGTGAAAATGATAAAACAGATAATCCATAAAACTGCAGATATCAATAGCGATTGGCCTACAGAAATCTTAAAAAGCTTTCAAAGGTACTGCTTGTCCAAGTTTTTTGTCTTATAACTCAAAACAGCATGTTCTATCACTAAATTGATCAATGAGAATATGACCCTTACTCAAATATCAGGTAAATAATATTTCTTAACAGAACCAACAGAGAAAGCTGGAGAAGCATACTTCAAATATGTTTTCATACTCCTCAAGAAGAGTTGTAACGATGGCATGAGCACTATTAGCTGCTGCTGCCGCTGCCATTAGCTGAGCGGAACCATCACTATCCATATCAAAATCATCCTCAATCTCACAATCACCAGCCAACAGTGGGCGTAAAAGCAAAGGTGCCATGCAGGCTGCTACGGCTGATGGGGACATCCGGTTCTCAGAAGTGTGAGAAGCAATAGTGTGCATCATCTTAAGAACCCTAAGAAAAACAATTGGTATAAAAAAGCAGAATAAAACCAGGTTAGAGCCATATCACTCGTCATTATCAGATGGATACACTATAAACAAAAACAAGATGGAATCAAACAGATTATGTCGAATGCTCTCAATGGCAAGGGAGGTAAGTGCGACACAAGGTCATAGGTGAGGGTCCTCTCAATACTATCCTAGAGCCTTGCCAGGTGAGAAAACAAAGGCACTCAAATTGGCTTCTAGCACATAAAGAGGGTTCTTGAACAATCCTACCTATTATGTGCGAAAACAAAGGAACTAGTACACAAAAAAGGTCCATGTATAACATAACGTGTACAAAAGGGTATGCATGGAGATATATACACCATACAGATCACCTGCAAAGTTAGGACTTGTTATATAGGCACATAATTTATAGATTTAAAGAGCATCCAAGGTAATTTACAACGATATAAAGGACATTCAAAGCTTTCTATATTATATATGTATATCAGAGAAGAATATAAAGCTCAGCATGCATCTCTTACGAAAAGGACTATTGCTTAAATTCTGGCCTAGCTCTCATTGAAATCAGCAAAGCAGATTTACACACACATAAGATCTGCACTCATTCCCGTCAGCTCTCCTAAATTCCCAAGCCTCACCTCATTCTTAAACTCAATTGAGAGAAGGCTTCCAAACACGTTGGCTGGTCCATTCTAGACAAGGTCATGGGTCTCATGGGTTTCAGGACCTACCGGACGTGTTCACGGATGTGTTTTCTCTGCTTCCTTTATGGTCCTTGTAAATGGTTCCCCTCTAGGTTATTTCCACTCCTCCAGAGTGCTCTGCCAAGGTGACCCCATCCCCATTTCTTTTCGCTACTGTAGCTAAAGTTTTCAGTAGATACATCTCAAGGCTCTATAATAGGGGTCACTTGTCTGACTTCCAAATTTTGAGGACAGGTAACACCATCTCTCATCTTCAATATGCAAATGGCAACCTCGTTTTCTGCAATTCCTCTCCTGAATATTTGGACAATTTTTGGCTTTTTCTTAGGTGCTTTGAAGTTTCCATGGGAATGCCTATAAATATGGCGAAATCCAAACTTATGGGGATCCATGTCCCTCCTGATACTTTCCCTGCCTTTGCTCAGAGACTAGATTGTGCTACGGAATCCCTTCCGGCCAAAAACCTTGGTCTGTCCATTTGTGTAGGCAAACCTAGCAGGCCTCTCTGGGACACAGCCATTGACAACTTCCACAGAAAACTAGACTTGTCGTAGGGTCGCTTCCTTTCCATAGGAGGTGAAATAACTCTATTAAGATCACGCTATCCAATCTACCCATTTACTATGTGTCCCTCTTTCTTATGCCGAGAAGTGTTGTCAACTCCTTAAAAAAAAATTATAAAAAAAGAAAATTATGAAAGCCTTCTTGCGGTCCAGAGACAAGAACCATAGGGAGATCCATCTTGGGGCCAGGGATTCAAGTGTGCAACCTTGAGCACCAAGGTGGACTTGGTATCCGCAACATGCGATGCATGAATCTTGCTCTTATTGGGAAATGGTGGTGGCATTATAGCATCAATCCTGACTCTCTTTGGCGCAAAGGTTTTTTGGCAAAGTATGCCTCCAACTCCCTATCATGGTTCCCCAAAAGGAGAATCAGTTCTCGGTACTTGGGATTCTATAGAAGCATCTATGCCTCTGGCCAATCATTTTTCTCTTTTATTAAGTACAAGGCTAACAGTGGAAATAGGGTTTATTTATGGTCTGATCTCTGGATTGGGGACCATCCCCTCAAGGCGAGGCGGCCACAACTTTTATTGACTTGTAGCTTGTCATCGGCCCACGTTGCTGAGTTTTCTGAACACCATTACTAACTTTTGCTTTGGAATCCAACCTTTAGAATGCCCCTCACAGACTGCGAATCTACAACCCTACTTGCTCTCTGAAACCTATTGCTGAATTTTTACACAAATACCTTTACCCCTGATAGCCCCCATCTGGACTACTTCTCTTACCGGGACCTTCACTGTTAACTCCTTCTATAAGCGTTCTCAGCAAACCCTGCCAACACTGCCACCTTAAACACTGTTGGGAATCCCCCTCCACCTCCAAAAATCCAGGTTTTGGTTAGCTTGCTATCCGCAATCAAAAACTCACCATCAATCATGTCCAAAGGAGAGGATTCCCTCTTGCTAACTATTTCTACCTTCGTTTGGAGGCTGAGGAAACTCATATCCATAACCATCTATTCTTACACTGTCCCTCTGCTCAGGCCATTTGGGCTTCAAATCTAAAGGATTTCAACTCAAAAAGGGTTACAACCTTTTCCATGGAGCAGCCTTTTTTGGCTTTCTTCACCCCTCCCTACCCTAAAGCCGACCATCTCCCATGGAGGGCTACTGTCTTAGCCACCCTCTGGAGCATTTGAAAGGTGAGAAACTCTAGGATTTTTAGGGTATTCACAAGCCTATTCCATGTGTTTGGACCAGTACCAAAGCCCCCCAGACCGGGGCACCATCAAACTCAATTTCGATGGTTGTTCTTTGGATAACTCCAGACCATATCACTTTGCAGATATTTTCAAGGATGAAGAAACCAACATTTATCATCCATTTGTGGTCCTCTCCACAATGGCGACTCCACATGGGCTGAGGTTCAAGCACCCTTGGAAGGTTATTAAGGTTTGGCCCCTCTTGGGTTCAAAAGCTTACCGTGGAAGGAGATCTAAGAACACATCTTATGGGCCCAAAGAAGTCCCAGCACTTGGCATCTTTCTTAAACTTTTGACAGGGTTTTCCATAGTCTTTACAAGTCAGCTTTCATCATATATGGAAGGGGGGGGGGGGGAATATGGTGGCAGATGCTCTAGCCAAGGCAGTATTTCAAAAAATGCCAGGTGGCACCTAGGCAGCCAGGGGGAGGGGGGGGGAGGGGGGTCCTGGCCACCTAGCGCCTAGGCAGGCACCCAAGGACTTCATCAGTGCAGGTTTGATAGGGCAGGGGGTGTCTTAGGAATCCTGTTTTAGGCCCAAAGTTTGTATAAAAAATGCATATTCATGAATTTTTATACATTGCTATGTGGAATCATGCCAAATCCATACAAAAGTACTACAATACTACCAAAAACACACAATTCATAGACTCACTCCATATTCCATAAACATAAACCATAGTACCAAACTACCATATACACATTTAGCACAACTATGAGTATATGACAATAACACATTAACACATCATAAAATATTAAATACCAATAATCCAAAGTTCTAAACCAAAGTACTAGACTACTAATACAATGAAAAAGCAAATACACTACAATCACAATCTTTAGTCCATAGACCACACTCCATAGTCCATACCATCCCATAATCCATAAACATAAGAGAAGGAAACTTCTAAATAGCTTCAAAAACCTTCTTACAAGGGGCAACATGCCCCCTAACATTGGCCTGAACCGGTTTACGCCCCCATTATAATTACACCTAATACAAGTTTTGTTCTTCTAGTAGAGGATATGAAAGAGATATGGGGAATATGGGTTTGATGAAAGAAATGAGATGAGTGAGGCTATTCTAAAATTTGCTATGGCCTACAACTTAGCAATAGCAAATACTTATTTTAAAAAGCAAGGTGAAGATTTAATAACGTATACAAATGGATCATATAAAAGCCGGATAGACTTCTTCCTAGTCAAGAAATTAGATCGACCATCATGTACAGATGGCAAAGGTATCCTAGGATAGAATTTGACCCGCAACATAGGCTCGTGATGATGGACGTCTGCATAACGAGATAGAAAAGAGGGGGTGAAATTAATACGTGTTAAAGAACTAGGTGGTGGAATTTTAAAAATGAGAAAATAGACTTATGGATAAATTAATTAAAGAAAGAAAATGGAACACCGAACATGAGGTCAATATTATGAGGAAAGAGATGGTTGACTACATTAAGAAAGAAGCAAAAGAAGTTTTAAGAGAAACTAGAGGGAAAATAAATTTTGTTAAGGAAACTTTGTGGTGGAGTGAAGAGATTCAAAAAGCCATTACAAAAAAACAATCATGTTATAAAACTTGACAATGTCAAAGAAATAAGGAAAAAGTTTATATAAGAATGCAACCTTATAATGTAGAACTACGGATGCACCTCAAAAATCCATCGGAAAAGGTAGTCTTAATGTTGACAAACCCTTTGATTGATCATCTCGACATCGATAATCTATACAGTAAACTGGGAATAAGAAAAAGTGAAAAAGATGTCTGCAAATTAGCAAAAATGAGAAAAAAAATAAAGTAGGGATCTAGACCATCTTAAATGTATTAAGAACGAGTATCAAAGGTCTTGGTGAAGGAAGAATAGGTCAAAGAAAGGTCGAGAGTTTATTTTAAAGAATTATTAAATGCCAAACACAATGGGAACACAGTGGTAGAAGGAACCATTGGCATAAATGAGGGTGGAGGTCATAGATGCATCCATAGGATTAGGATATCGGAAGTAAAAGAAGATTTGAAGATAATGAAGATAGAAAAGGCTTTAGGACCAGATGGTATTCCGATAGATATTTGGAAGTACATGGGGGCAGATCAGCATTGATTGGCTGACCAAGCTGTTTAGAAAGGGGTTGAGAACAAATAAAATGCTAGATGAATAGAGGAAAGTAATGTGGTACTTATTTATAAGAACCAAGGAGACATACAGAATTGTGCGAACCGTAGAGGGATCAAACTTATGAGCCACACTATGAAGTTGTTGGAGAAAGAGATTGAGAAACAACTAAGACATAAAACAAGTGTAATAGAAAACTAATTTGATCTTATGCCAGGGAGGTCAACAATTAAGGTTATTTTCCTACTTAGGCAACTGATTGAGAAGTTTGGGGAAAATAAAAAAGATCTCCACATGGTCTTTATTGATCTAGAGAAAGTTTATAATAGAGTACCTTGAGAATTAATTTGGTGAGTGTTGGAAAAGAAAGGAGTCTCTTGATACTACATCAACTTGGTGAGAGATATGTTCGAGGGAGTGTTAACTAGTGTGCGAACAACAAGTGGAGAGACGAGAGAATTTGCATTGATATTAGGTCTGCATCAGAGGTCAACATTGAGCCCATACCTCTTTGTCTTAGTTATGGACAACTTAACTAGTAGGCATCTCCAAGTGTATGTTGTTCGTGGACGACATAGTTTTGATCGATGAGACCCAAAGTGGCGTAACACAAACTCACAAAGTTGGAACTTCAGAGGGATGCTCTAGAATCTAAACATTTTAAAATCAACCGGATTAAGACAAAGTATATAGAATGTAAGTTTAATAATAATACGAGTAGAAACGAGGAACTAATTAAGATTGATGGCTAAGAAATATCAAAAAGAGCGCACTTTGGATATCTTGGGTCGATAATCCAAGAAATGTAGAGATTGAGGAAAATGTCGGACTAGAGCTGGGCGAGCGAAGTGAAAATGTGCAACCAGAGTTTTATGTGAACGCTGCATACAATGAAGCTGAAGTGCAAGTTCTATTGGACAACTACGAGACCAACTTTGCTTTATGGGGTGGAATGTTGGACGGTCAAGAAACAACACAACCATAGGATGAGTGTAGCAGAGATGAGGATGATAAGATGGATGAGTGGTAAGACAAAAAAGAATAGAATTCAAAACGAATACATTTGGGAGAACTTAAGTGTAGCTCCAATAAGCGATACGATGGGAGAAAGTAGACTTAGGAGGGCTGGCCATGTGCAGTGCAGACCCAATACAACACCTGTTAGGAGATGCAAGTTAGTTAGAGTGAAAGGCTCAAAAAAAACAAGGGATACACCAAAAAGGACAAGGTTGGAAATAATGAGAAAAGATACAGGTACTTATGGCATCACTAAGGGTATGGGCCTTGATAGAGCAAAATGGCGGACCAAGATTCGTGCAGCCGACCCAAATAGTTGGGAAAAGGCTCTAATGATGACCTATGACAATTTGAATCCTTTGGATTTGGGTTATAACCATACTTCCAACCTAGAATACTACTTCTAAAATAACCCAAAAAAGATAATATTGAAATAACAAAAAAAATCTCAAATGCGAAGATTTATTTTTATTAACCTTCATGCTTGATCTTCAATCTTTGTTGCTTGTAAGGTTTCCCAATCTCAAAAACTCTCTAATAACCCTCAAATAAGCTTCCAAAATGGATAAAATTGAACCCAAAACAAAAGAATGATGTTTGGATCAATATTCGGAAGCTTCAAATTCAAAGTTCAATCCAACCAAATTCAAAATTTGATGAAATTTTTGTGTTTTTCTGGATCACTTAGGGTTGAAAATGGAATTAAGGGTTTAGAAACATTGAGCCAAGGAGGGCACTGCTGCTAGTGTTGTCCCATCACTTCAGAGAAGCAGGGTCCCCCATTTCATAGTATTTTCGTTGATTCTAACCTGAGCTTTCTTTTTTGTGGAAGACTTGGATTACACTCTCTATCTCTATCTAGCTCTCTCTTCCGCTATCTCCCTCTCTAGCTCTCTCTACATCTACACATCGTCTTCCCCACCTCTTCGCTCGGCACTATAATGCACTCAACTGGTTTCCATGTCTCTCTCTACAAAAAACCTCTAATCTGATCTTTCCCGTTCTTTCCTCCTTCTACTTACTTCTCAAGTGTCTTCTTCTCCCTCTCTTCTCCAACCTTTTATCTTAAGGAAATTTTTTACCACACATTCTTGATCCAAACAAAACATGAAATGACACTTGTTTCCCTTCTATCCCTATCTCTCTCTGTAATGTCTCTCTCTCAAAAGACAGCCAGAACTCTCTTTAACATTTTGTTCTATCTCAAAAGACAGTCTCTCTCCTCTCCTCTCTCTCTCAAAAGAGAGATCGCAGGATTCATCAAGGAGAAAGAAAGATCACAAAGAATCCTAGAAGGTAAAAATTCTAGGGTATGTATAATCTTCCAGCAAAACAATGATAAAAACTCAAGACAGCTCTCTACTCTCCAATCTTTCATATGTCAATATTCAAAACTAAATCATCGAATTAAAACTTGTAGCCTACTCTCTCCAGTATCAACAGTTGAATATTATTGCTATCCAATCGGGTCACTGTAAAACTCAAACTTCTTTAAGCTTTTAGTGTGCGATTTGTAAACCAATTTACAATGGAGTTTTGAGAAGGGGTTTATTGAGTTTCAAGCCCAAATTGCAAGCAATGACATGGATGCAGATCCTAAGACCAGGGCAATATATGAGGCCTTTTTCATCTTGGAGGAAGAGGTGATGCTCTTTTTTTGAAAGAGATCCACTGCCATTAAATCAACCAATGCCATGTACACCAAAATCCCTGAAGTGAATGATGCCAAGAGCCCCTCCATGATCAGAGCTTCTGGATTGTTTCTAGCCAGTCAAGAAATTGAACAGCATCCCCACTATGATGCCTGCTGGGCTTGTGATAGAACTAAAACCATCCCGGAACAACAAAAAATGGGTATTACTTTTAAGAGAACTTTGCCTTTCTCACTCTTCTCTCTCTCTCTAAAGGGTTAGTGTTGGATTTGTTAAGGGTTTTAAACTGAAACCCAAATCACTGGGCTCAGGTTCAGCCTTCTCTCTCTATGCTATAGGGCTCATCTCTCTAACCTGTGCGATGCAGCAGCCCAGGCCCATTCCTTCAAGGATCTGCTGGAAGGCAAGCGCCGCCATGAGCGGCCTTATGGTGCACTGATCCAAGCGTCACCCCGATGATCACCAAATGGAAGATGATCCCCACCTCCAACGCCTTTGCCGGAACTATAGAGGGTTCATGCTGTTTTTTGAGAGAGAGAGAGCAAAATGTTTCCTACTGTCTTTTTAGAGAGAGACGGTATAGAGAGAGAGGGACATTTAGACGGAAGGAAAATAGGTGTCATTTCATATATTGTTTAGGTAAAAAATGTGTGGTCAAAGGCATTTATTTGGGTCCAGGGGGTGGAAGATACAAAAGATTGTAACACTAAGTGGCCAGAAAGGTTCTAAAACCTTAAGTCTCTTAAGAAATGATTTTTCAAAATGGGATGCACGGATAAATTTTCCCTTAATCTTATTCTCCCCCTTTATCTTTCCTCCTCTACTTCTCTTTCTTCTCTTTCAAAATGGCTACTGGTTGCCGACCTTATTTTGGGTGAGGTGCGAGCACATGCTTTCTAGGTTGCTCCCTAATTGGTCTTTGATGTACACTAAGCACCCGATCTGTGGGTTGCCGCATACTTAATTTTTGGTCTGTTCATGTTCGAGCACCCGAGTTCTGGGTTGCCAAACCTCTTTTGGTGCTTTTTCTTTTTTGGCCTATATTCTTTTTTGTATAGAGCACCAAGATGTGGGATGCCTGAAACTCGCTTCTTGTGAGGATTTTTGTATATCTTATACTTCACTAAATATAATGTGAACATTTCACTGAAGAAAAAGGGCATAGCATTAAGATCTCATTGTCTTGACGGGTAGTGCCACACATACCTTTGTAGCAACCGGCGATTAGGTTCTGGGAATGTCTCAGATATTGCAGCACGCATTGCATCCGCTCTAGCTTCCCTTTTAGTTCCTAATCAGCAAATGTAAATTTAGCCAAAACCACAAACATGAAAAAGGAGCCATACATCTTATGCGATATGAATAAAAAACTTACACCGCTTAAGACTCATTAGAATTGATTGATACATATTTTAACGTACAGTAAAACAAAATTCTTTCACGTTGTCATGCACATATAAGTTTGCAAGGATGTTTTCCTATGGGAGTCCTGAACCCAACCTTCAAGACTGGCACTTTTGCTCTAAAATCTGAATATTTTGCATGAATAAAGGCTATTAGATTCCCCTCTCCATTTAACGACACCTCAAAGAGATTTATCATATTTTATTAACAATGCAGCACCTCACAGGATCAATATAAGTCCTGAATAATATATGCCATGTGATAGTAAATAAAAACCGAAACTATACATGGTTTACTGCTAATCATTTACTCACTGTATGCTTCTAATAGTGCAGTGCAGCACGATGCCGGAACTGGCGATGATGGCAATTCACGTAGAACATGCTGCATGATATACAATACAGAGAACCTTAAACTTAGTTAGGACAACACCAATTTATAGTCCAAGGAACTAAGATTCAGGTTTTCCAACATCAAATACAAAGTATTCCTGTCTATTACTAAGAAGAGAGTACCTTCACACAATCACCCACAACATGTGCATCTTCGTCAGGAGAAAACTCAGTTTTTCCTGAAACAAGAAACCAAACCAACAATTGTATATCAAGAAATCAGGATGCAGTAATGGAATTTAGGATGCCGATTTTGAGAATCACGGCAAGCCCAAGGTTTCAAAAGGAACTATTAAACAATCACTGAGATTTATTAAAAAATTCCCACAATGCTAACAATGAAATTAAGAAGGACAAGAACCAGAGAACCAAAATTTGATACATTTTTAGATAGGACCACTATTCTGACAAATGATATAATTCCAAAACAAATAAGAGCACCACAAGTGAGCATCAACTTCAAAGCCCAAACAATTTTGAGAAACACAAAGAACTCAAGGGAAAATATCCTAAAGAAACAAAGAACAAGAAAACAAGGGCATATTCAGCTAATCAAGAGGTATACCTTGGTATACCAGTAAACTTTTCTCAAAAAAAATCAGTTAATCAAGGGGCTTATAGTTCAAACCAACTGACCATCCTCATATTCCTGAACTCGACGATCAACCTCCTCAACATCAGCTGCTTGTCGTAGTATTCCTTCAACTTTTACTCCTGCTGATAGTCGACTTAAGTTAGTGATCCCATAACATTCATATTAATATTACCAATAAAAACAAAATAAGACAAAAGTGAACTTTAAATATCAAAAGAAATGTGGTATGCTCCTCATTCATGTGAAATGCATACGGTGATAGAAGCCAAAACTCCTTAGTCCCACATCAGCTTTTTATAATACTAAATGGCAATACATTTAAGAATGTAAAACGTTCAATGGGAAGGTGTTTGAAAGCACCATTTACAATGGAGATGCTCTTCAAACACCACTCTTTTCCTCATCAATACAATAGAAAAAATAAAAATAAAATACATTCCTTGGTTTTTTTTCATCTCTTTTGTACTTTTACCATGCTATGTCACACCTATTGTGTAATGAAGACTAGTGTGGAGTGCTGGCAATTGCAACCTTAAGAAGTTCAATCTTACATGAGTGTATGCTTATGAACAGCATGATACAGCTAGAACTTGGAAAAAAGTAACCAACTGCGAAAGTTGTCCAGCCTTACAAATTCAAAACACAAATTTACTCTTTTTATGCAATAGCTACAAGCAATTTCAAATTAATTCCTCAGAAATCTTTATGGTATTTCATAGATGAAAAAACGTTGTCCTTCATAGTTTCATGACTTTTCAGGTCAGCCTATGCAGCTCGTATCACAAAGAGAATGACCGATAAAACATAAAAGTAATCCACCATAACAAATAGAAAGCTATCCAGAAAATTGAATAAAAAAAGGACATAAAAGGTTATTGGTACAAAAGTAGCTCAAAAACACTATCATTGAATAACGCCATTTAATAGTAGTAGAGAACATGAGGATGAATTTACCGAACTGTTCAAGGAACCTGAGAGCCTTCTCAAGAAAGGATGGACCACCATCAATGTCTTCCAAAGCAAGAAGTATGGGCCTGCCAACAACCATGGACTTTACAGGACGCCTATCTCGCCCTACAGAAGGAATAGAAATGGCCAAAAAAATTATCATGCAAAAATTAGAACAACAATACCATAAGCAAAATTTTATGCAGAAAACCATCATAAAAAAGACATAAGCTTCCCTCCTCCAAAGGTTAATATCCAACAACCCACCTAGATAAATGCAATTTCAGAAGAAGACAGAGGGAAAGGTCCAACAAGCAACAACTATATGCATCAGAGCTACACCATAGTCTGAAATTTATTTTAAAGATGTTCCCTGGAAATGAGTTAGAACTAACTACATGGTAATTTTAAAGATGTTCCCTGGAAATGAGCTAGAACTTACTACATGGTAACTTGAATTTCCTAGATAAGTACAATTCAATGTTAAAATCACCAACAATCATAGCCCCAACTAAGCCTAGTCAAAGCATTGATGACAGTATATTGATGAATGTCCAAAAGAAGGCCTTTTTGTTTGTCATCCTTCTTCTCCAACCATGCTATATATTATTGTCTCTTCTCGTCAAATTTATTCCAAATGGAAGATATAATCGCACCTTATACTGCCTAAACTTTCATACTTTACTGGCATACACGCTATGCAAGTGAAACGACACACTTGACTGTGTGAATTGAAGCTTTTAGTTGAATATGTCAAGAAGCATGCCTTTCTGACTTATTGGATGAAGTAAACAGCAGCATGAGTGGTCTTGGAGAGTAATTCCATTCTAACTCACAAGCACCCAGATGATATTTACAAGTCCCCTTTGACATCCTCATATTTGTTTGTTGACTACTTTTATCGAGAGAATCAGGAAAAGAAATTTGTAAACAGAGCATAAAGAAAAAGAACAAACAAAGAATTGTCCAGGTCCCAACAAATGTAGCAGTCACCACATGCATTCACTCTCCTTCTCAAGTCTATGGCCTTACCCAGTTAGCTGCTAGTATTTTCAGTTGTCAATTTTTCTCATATCAATACTTGATACTTTCTTTTACCTCTTCAATCAAAGTTTGCAGACCTGAACAGGTCTCTTGCTAGACCCAGTCTGGTCAACTCGACCCAAAGGAGAACCACTGAAGGTGAATCAGGACGAGTGACTCCCCAAAACCAGAAGGTACAAAATCTGATAAAAGATCTGATAGACCTGACCAATTCTATTGAATTCTCATGTGACGTGATCGAGTCTAGTGACTCAGCCGACTAAATAATTTTGCATTTTGAAAAGGGGAACCAAAACTAGGAGTTCTGGTTTCCTCAAGCCATATAAGTTTCAAATAGAATGGGTCTAAATGGATTCCTCCTTCGAATAAAACAATAAAAATAAAAGCAAATCCCCACAAATAAAACAATAAAAAGAAAAGCAAATCCCCACAAATAAAACAATAAAAAGAAAAGCAAATCCCCACAGATTCACAGATTGAAAATTCTTTTGACATCATGTGGATCATATTATGAATTATTTCATACGGATGTGAATGCAACAACATCCAAGGATGAATGGTTCATATAAACATGAATTGTTTGCTCTTTTTTTTTTTTGAAGAGCATGAATTGTTCGCTAATTAAATATCATCTGCACAGAATTACAATTTTTTGAGATATTTTCTACATTTTTAATTCTTCTTAAATTTATAGAAGTTGTTTTCATTCTTTTTAGTTTTTTAAGCAAGAAAAAATTTGGAAAAAATTTGATCATTTCCTAGAATTCAGTTGAAATGCCGAAGCACTTTTCTTCCCAAAAGCAATTCAAATTTCCAGATAAAGTTTCCCAAAAAGTAATTAAGCAAAGAAGAAAATGCCAAAGCACTTCTCTTCCCCAAAGCAAATCAGAAAAAGGTTCCCTGGGAAGTAATTATGAAGAAAAGGAAACCCTCTTGGTAACTAAATATAAAAACACAGAGATCTTACAATGCTCAAAAGTTCCTTCAATTGTGTCAGCTGCATCATTGCGAAAAATGGCATTTTGTCCCATCACAAGGGCTGCACTGGGTGCCTGTGCCAGTGCATTATCAAGTGCCGTTTTCCACTCGTACATATCCTCTGAAGTTTCTGCCTATTGTATCCATGAAGAGTAACTTAATAAAAATGTACGCAAGGACAATGAAGGAAGAACCTTTGTGTTTCCATGCACAAAAAGGAAAAGATAAAAAAGGACAATGGAAGCACCTTAAGAGTGAAAGCTCGACCATCACGTCCATCAGGAAACAACACTGTCAATAGCTTCTTATCTGCTCTTACAACAACACTGCATATTTTTGTTTTGAAAGATAAATTGAAAAGGATATTGGCAACCCAAATGAATATGCCTTATTTTTCATAATGGAACTTTAAGAAGTAAAACCCACCTTCCTGAATTATTGAGGTCGATACCACCAAGGGTCAGGTTCACTTCACCACCTTTCTGAGGAAGAGCACTCTGAAGGTTAAAAGAAAACGGTCAATACCAAGACTTGCAAACATAATTAAAATCTATCAGCACATGAGAAAGTGTTTAGAAAAGAATGATAAGTTTAAAGTCAATATCCCCAGATTTCAAGTCGACCAAATTCAAGTAAGTGTAATTCTCAAATTTCCAGTAAGAAATATTCCAAACAATGAGTGCACGAATATGCAGTGACATAACGATCCTACCTCATAAATACCAACAAGCTCTAACTTGAAAAATAACCAATTTATCATAATTAAGAAAAAAAAAAAGCATACATTAAAATAACGATATAATGTTACGAGTAAAAAATAAAAAGTAGTCGCCACATCTAACAATTCTAGATCCCTTTTTAGAACTGAAGCAATTTAATGATCATAGAGACAAGTACCATACAGGCAAGCATGAGCTTCACATATTAGGTATATCTCAAAAGAACTAGGCAATACTTATTAAAGCTTGCTAATAAACCAAGAACCAGATGCGGCAAAAAAAAATTTATTGAGTTGGTAAGTGATATAGAGGCTGCAAGAATTACATAAGGATCATAGAGTTAAAAAAGTAGACAACATGGACACGATTCTGCAATGCTGATTGCACACACATTGCCCTTTTCTTTTCCCCTCCTATAAAATTTTAAACAGCTGAAAATTAGGGGTTGGAAGTTGAGAGTCTTGAGACCAAGAATTCAATACCAGCAGTCCACAGCCCACACCAGCTTTTTTATTGTCGTAGATAGTGTACATTGACAGTTCACAAAATCAAGGATGGCAGTGAAATTGCAAGGGCGAATAAGAAAATTATATAATCATAAATAAAAATAAACTAAACCAAACAATCAATTTATCAGCTCTTTTTACCAAATTGTCAACCTCAAATTAACACGAAATGGCAACTTTTTATTACGAGGCTGGACACAAAGAACAGGATTTCTCAGGACAAACACCATCCTAGCATTGTTATAGCCATAGTTAAGGGAACCGTGGAGGTAGGGTGGCATTCTTGCTCCGGAACCTCGATCCCACGGTTCCTCCTAGGAATCTCGTAGGGACCCCAGTTTTTCAATTTTGGGATCTTGCTCCCAAATAAAGGGGATCACGCTCCAACCATTAGTGGATTCTAGTACTATTTCGAATAGATTCCTACTCCCATCAAACATGGTCCAAGGTTTTGGTACATTATTATCTTGGGTTCTATATATGGGGAATCTATTTTAAAAACAGATGAATCCAGTTCCACAGTATTCCTACCCCTCTCTCTCTCTCCCCATTTTATGTAAGTGGCAAGTTTTATAATAGAGCAACAAATTCAGTATTCATGCAAATGGCAAGTTTTATAATAGAGCAACAAATTCAGTATTCATGCAAATGGCAAGTTTTTTAGCAGAGAAACAAACTCAGTATTCATGCTCTGATCAAATACAAGACAAAGTAACCAACACAATGTTCATATTCTGATCCTAAATCCAGATCATAAATCTTAGAAATTCAATGCATTGAAACCTATGCAAAATTCATGTTTCAATCCAAATACCTGATTATGGCATAAATCACAAAATACATACGAAAAGCAACTAAAAAAGCATTCATCTTGTCAACTCCTTACGCACACCTCTCTACTGCGCACACATACACACACCTTTCTCTCTACTGCACGCACACTCACAACTCTTTTTCTCTTATGCACACACAAGTCACAGAAATACACAGGGAAAGAGCACAAGTGCACATACCTGTAGCATGGGAGAGTTGGGAAGAGCAACTAGATTCACCAGAATGATCACCACAAGCTAATGGCGAAGGAGTTGTGGGTTGGTTTTGGGTCCAAGGGTTTATATAGAGGGAGGGAGAATTGGGTGGGGAAGAGGGAAGGTGGGGAGGTGAGGGTACGTGTTGGTGATCTAAGTGTGTAGTTGATTAAAATAATAGAAAAATCCAATTTATGTACTTGTAGATTATTTTTTGGATTTATGTGTAAGGAATATCTTGGTGGTCCGAGGGACTATGTTATTAAAGTTATACCTCTAACGGGATTTGGAGTATATATAAGAAGAATGGAGTATATAAGTATACTATGGACTATCTAATAGAGTGATACTTTTAGCATTTATCAAGTAGTATATAGGCACTTGATGTATCAAATTTTAGTAATATCCATTTAATTAAATAGGGTATGTCATACACATTAGATTTTGAACTGAGGACCACAGACTGAGTAGCAAAATAATCCATACTCTTTAGATTTATCAAGCATATAGGCATGTGTTGCATAAAAATATGGTTTGATGCATTTATTTAAACATAGGATGTCATACATATTACATTTTGGACTATGGACCATAGACTATATAGTAATGTGCCTAATATTTCATCAAGTAGCATGTATGCCTAGAAATAGGGCACTATGGATTTATTTAATTAGAGGTTGTCATTCGCTCATATGTACATATTGGATTTTTGAGCATGGACCATGCACATATACAGTAAAGTGTTTAGTAGTATTTAGCATTTATCAAGTAGCTTGTAAGCATGTGATGTATAGAAATGGGGCACGATAGATTTATTTAACTACAAGATAACATACATATTGGACTTGTTCCCTTAACCAATGGTAGTTGCGGACCTTGGGGCCAATCAACTGAGGACCTTGATTCTTATACTTAAAGAATCTCGATATTAGAACAAGCGGAACCCCATTATATGACAAACGGAAACCTCGATCCCTTAACCAAGGGAACCCCTACTAGCTCTACTTGACAACCTCGTTTAATGTGCAGCGGAGCTTAGATTCTTGCCAGTCAAAACCTCGAACCCATTGATATGGGATCTCGCTCCCATAAACCTAAGGATCTCGTTCCCTCTCTTGTTCATTGTACGGACGCTGATCCCAAACCTAGGGAACTTCCACAATAGGGCGGTTTGATGATTCCCGAACCGATCCCGCTCCCGTCTTCAATAACTATGGTTATAGCCCATTTACATTCATTCTTAAGAGCTCAGAAGAGATTTGGTGCTCTAGTGTCACCTTTCTATGACAATTCAACATGGAATATAAGTATTTTTTCCAAGACATGCAATTCAAGAAAGGATTACACAAATGGAACTACAAAACAAATTAAAATACATACAAATCCACTGATAATATCTTGTACAAGTCTTAGGGGAGTTAAAAAATGAAAAATGTCAGAATATTATTCAACTCTAATGAGGCAACATCCAAGTATATTGTATGGCAACAAAAATCACAATGAGGTTTTGTTCAACTCAACTTCTACATTACACAAAAAATATGAAGTTAAGAGCATCTTCTATCAGTTTTTTATTTTTCCTTTACATTTCTGATACGGAATAATTTACATACTGATGTAATATAATCCCAAACTACAACATAGTGTTGCCACCCTCACCGTACTTAAGCTAGAGACACCTAAGGATTTGTTAATACAAGATGAACATACCATCAGAACCTATGAACCCTACTAAATCTAGCCAATATGGCAATATCCTACTAGCTTCTTGCAGGTGCATTCTCAGCTAGTGCACACTCTCTTTCACAGTGTAAGACTCACATATCGTTCTTATGACTGATTTAGCCTCATAGCACCCACCCTTGAATTTCCTGTCATTCTTTCCAGATCCTCCCAAGCCCAATCAGAACTGCATAACCCCATTGGTTTGTCTCTCATGTTCAATGAAAAAGTTGAAGGAAGTGTGCAACTCATATACAATCATCCGAATGATAAATATGCAAATAAGAAAGTGCAAAAAGAAATACACTTTAGGATATAAAGTCATGAGCATTACTGGGTCATTTCTGAAAAAGACTAGGGATGTACGTGTGAGGATAAACCAACGTTTCTTCCAAGAAGTCCACCCTATTCCTGTAAATATATAGCATTATATAACCATCAAGGTCAGTCAATAATGCATATGCTACTGTAAAAAAAAAATCAAGCCTTCAGAAGTCACACACTCAACCAGTACTTGCCACAAATACAAAAATACAATTCAGAATCATGAAACACATCAAATATAAAGGGACGATAAAAGATATCAAAGTAACATTTCATAAAAGCCAATTATAAACAAAGAGTGGATTCTAGCCAATGAGGTAAGTTGGGATCGACCAATGGCTGAAGTTCCCTACCTTGGGATCGCCTCGGAGCGGCTTTTGTGTGTGTGTGTGTGTGTGTGTGTGTGTGTGTGTGTGTGTGTGTGTGTGGTGGTGGTGTGAGTAGGTAGTAGTATTACTATCGTCGTACGTACTTCTTAGTTATAATAATAATAACTACTACTACTACGTAACTAACGTATGTTGTGTATATAT